GCTGGGGATTCGAACCCGCCACCTTAGGTGTACGTGGCTGGCGCCTTAGCCGGTTGAGCTATAGGCGCCGAGCCCCAACTATTTCTTGATGTCACTTCTGAATTACTGCAGAGGTGCTTGGCTACCTAATTGCATTTTCCTCACATTCTGAACAGGTTAAGTAGGAACATTGTTTAAAAACATTAAATGTCAAGAGTGTTGGATATACTCAGTCCCCCACTGAGAATTCCCCCAAAAAGGCCTGGACATTGTTGCAGCAAGCTGTCTTTAGCCTTAGCTAATTAAAACATGCAGAAGAGTTGAACAACCGTGCTTCTCAAGTGAGCGCATCAGGTTGGGATAAATTCTTCATTGCAAAGACGTAATGGGAGAGTTTTCCCTCACGTTCATCCTCTTAGCTTTGGGAGTTCATGGTTCCCTGAGCTGGTGCTTCACCTTTAACAAGCACTTCTCTTAAGCTCTGTTTGTTGTCTCCTCTCCCCTCCCCCCTACCTCTTCAGTTCAAATATTATTACTCAATCGTATTTTTTTGACACAGCCTCACTCTGTCTCATAGCGCATAGCAACCTCAAACTCTTAGGCTTAAGCGATCATCTTGCCTCAGCCTCTCAAGTAACTGGGACTACAGACTCCTATGATCATGCCCAGTTAGTTTTTTCTATTTTTGGTAGAGACAGGGATCTTACTTTTGCTGAGGCTGGTCTCAAACTCAAGAGCTCAAGCATTCCACCCACCTTGGCCTCCCAGAGTGCTAGGATTGCAGGCATGAGCCACCACGCCCAACCTCAGTTCAAATTCTTAAGGGAGGCTCAGTGCCTGTAGCTCAGCAGCTAGGGTGCTGACCACATACACTAGAGCTGGTGGGTTGGAACCTAGCCCAGGCCTGCCCAACAACAGTAACAACTACAACAAAAAAATAGTTGGGTGTTGTGGTGGGTACCTATAGTACCAGCTACCTGGGAGGCTGAGGCAAGATAATCTCTTGAGCCCAAGAGTTTGAGGTTGCTATGAGCTGTGACGCCACAGCACTCTACTGAGGGCCACATAGTAAGACTGTCTCAAAACAAACAAACAAACAAAAACCACACCAAATTCTTAAGGGAGATAATTCATTCCAATTTTATTTTTATTTATATATTTTTTGAGACATCCTCAAGCTATCCCCCTGGGTAGAGTGCTGTGGCATCACAGCTCACAGCAACCTCCAACTCCTGGGCTCAAGTGAGTCTTCTACCTCAGCCTCCCAAGTAGCTGGGACCACAGGTGCCCACCACAACGCCTGGCTATTTTTTGGTTGCAGCCATCATTGTTGTTCGGCGGCCCCAGGCTGAATTCGAACCCGCCACCTTAGGTGTACGCGGCTGGCGCCTTAGCTGGTTGAGCTATAGGCGCCAAGCCAGTGGCAGTACTTTCAATGGCAGCAACCACTGCCTGCCTCTAGTACCATCAGTGGAGCAAGCTGCCGTGTCTGTCTGCTGAGAAGAGTGTTGGTGTCCTTGTAAGTTCTGTGGTATGACTTTGGCTGTTGTTTCTAGTACTTAGTAACAACCCTTGTACTTTGGAGCTTCCTGTGACTCTGTGAACTTTTTTTTTTTTTTTGGCAACAGAGCCTCAAGCTATCCCCCTGGGTAGAAGTGCTGTGGCATCACACCTCACAGCAACCTCCAACTCCTGGGCTCAAGAGAGTCTCCTGCCTCAGCCTCCCAAGTAACTGGGACCACAGGCGCCCACCACAACACCTGGCTATTTTTTGGTTGCAGCCATCATTGTTGTTCGGCGGCCCCAGGCTGGATTCGAACCCGCCACCTTAGGTGTATGTGGCTGGCGCCTTAGCCACTTGAGCCACAGGTGCTGAGCCGACTCTGTGAACTTTTGATTGATTGATGGATGGATGGATGGATGGATTGATTTTTGAGCTCACAGCAACCTCAAACTCTTGGCCTTAAGCTATCTTCTTGCTGCTGCCTCCTGAGTAGCTAGGACTACAGGCACCCACCACAGTGCCCCGATATATTTTTTAGAGTCCAGGTCTTGCTCTGGTTCAGGCTAGTCTTGAACTCCTGAACTCAAGCAACCTACCCACTTTAGCCTCCCAGAGTGCTAGGATGACAGGCATGAGACACCTTGCTCAGTCTAATTCTGTGAACTTTTTTTTTTTTGAGACAGAGACTCACCTGGTCACCTTTGGTAGAGTGCTGTAGTGTCATAGCTCACAGCAACCTCAAACTCTAAGGCTCAAGCGATTCTCTTGCCTTAGCCTCCAAAAGTAGCTGAGACTACAGGCACCCTTCATGATGCCCTGCTTTTTTATTTTTTTAGAGACAGAGTCTAACTTTGTCACCCTCAGTAGAGTGCTGTGATGTCACAGCTCACAGCAACCTTCAGCTCTTGGGCTTAGGCAATTCTCTTGCCGTAGCTGGGACTAAAGGTGCCCGCCACAACATCTGGCTATTTTTTTGTTGCAGTTTGCCCAGGGCTAGGTTTGAACATGCCACCCTCAATACATGGGGCCAGCACCCTACTCACTGAGCCACAGGTGCTGCCCAATGTCTGGCTATTTTTTAGACGAGGGTCTCGCTTTGGTTCAGGCTGGTCTGAACCTATGAGCTCAGGCAATCCACCTGCCTCAGACTCCGAAGTGCTGGGATTACAGGCATGAGCCACCGCACCCTGCAATTCTGTGAACTCTTATTACATTCATTTCTATGTAAATCAGCCAAGGCCAGTCTCTGTGCAACTGAGAATACTCACTAATACAAAATAGTAAAAAGGCAGCTAGACATAGGGCCTGGAGCCTAATAGATAACATTGTTTGAGAAAAAATGTTGTCATCGGGGTCATATCAATGGGAATTAAAACCCATAGATATGAATAGAGAGAGAATATG